AATTCAGATTACAGTTGATTGTGCTTAGGATTATTAGCTGACAACTTACTCTAGGTAAGTTTATGCCCAAATAATATAGAACCACTTAGTTTATACACATTCCTTTGTTATTCTAACTTTTCAAAAAACAATAATCTAAACTCTAAATTTAAAAATTCAAATCCAAGTTAAAATTTAAAATCTAAAGCCTAATGCATTGGGATCTTAATAGCCCAAAACTTTTTTTAAATCTATATAAATTTATATATATATATATATATATTATATATATATCTTATAGTATATACGTATATTACTTTGACCAATAGTTTTCTCAACGGAGTACTAATTAACTGTAGGGCTTAACCTACTATGAAGTCTAAAACATATAATTAAAATAAACCCTACCATAGTTTCTTTATAAGATAGGGTAAAAGATTATGGATGCAGACCTATGTTTTTAACATTTTATTAATTTCATAATGAAAAGATAAGTGAATATTCTTTTTATCCTTAGAGGTAAATTGAATATTCCTTATGTGTTTGATTATGAAAATAAATATTTGAATTTAGTTTTATGATTAAATGATAATATAATATTCCTTTTATTCTTAGGAGTGAATTGAATATTCCTTATACAGTTTGATTCAAAAAATAAATTCATTAATTTAGTTTCATGATAAAAATAATAAGTTAATATTCCTTTTGTCCTTAGGGATGAAATGAATATTCCTTATGCAGTTTTGATTATGAAAATTTTTTTATTGATTTAATTTCTTGATTAAAATGAGAAGTGAATATACCTTTTATCCTTGGAGAAAAATAGAATATTTCTTATGCTATGGTTGATCATGAAAATGAATAGAATATTTATATTCTCAAATCAATAGTAAAACATTGGTATGTCCTTTAGGATGATATAATGTTAAATTATGCTGATTTGACTAAAGAAACATAAAACTACTTTAAAGTAAATCAAGTGGGCATTTAAACTAAAGTAAAAGTAAAATTTGTCCTTAGTTTTCTCTAGCGACTCCACTAGGGATCAACTTCTCACTCCATCTTAAGTGAAGGATAATTTTTTATGTAAATATATATATCCTAATGCATATTTTGTTTAGTATTAAACAATTGCATGTTTATTTAAATTCTAGTATATGCTTATGTGAGTAAGATAATCCCATTCTGTCAAATATAGATTTTGCCGATTTTATTTGAAGACAGGTTGGAGCTTATATTTTAAAAATCTAGAAAATCTATTTCGGATTTGGCATTTGAAACATAGGTTCATGATAATTCTTGTTGTCAAATATGGGAATGGATTAAAAAGGCTTATTCCATGGATGGAGGTTTTCTGGTGGGTGATTTTTAAAAATGCTATTCCGACATATCAGTTCTTATCATATAAAAGATTGCTATGGAAAAATTATTGTCTAAGAAGCTATAATGAGATTGAAGACATTGAAAATGTTGCAACCAAGTGTAAGAAGCTGAAGGAAGTATTCAAACATTTAAATTGATGGGGCTTTGGTATTCTATCTTTCAAATCTTTTGAAGACTGTTGTAAGTGGTTAGCTTTATAGAATATTTTATTAGCTAAATTATATTGCAATGCTGTTTATTTTTCATGGATGGATATGAATATGTTGATTCATTAAGGCTAAGAGGAAAGCTAAATGGTGATTGTTGCTAATACCGTGAGCTATGCAGCAGTTTCTGCATCAAGTAATAGTTACAACTTGGGCCATTGTGGTGTTAATAAGCCTTTTAGGTTGTTGGATAATCATTGGCACGCTTCACCTGATTGGATCAAAGTTAATGTTTATACATTATTATTATAATCATTATAAAGCTGGAATTGGCTATGTTTTTAGAGACTACAAAGGTAGATTTCTTCTGGCATTTGGTCTTCTGGCAATTGTAAATTTATATAGATTTTAAAAAAGTTTTGGGCTATTAAGATCCCAATGCATAGGCTTTAAATTTTAAATTCTTAACTTGGATTTGAATTTTAAATTTAGAGTTTAGATTATGTTTTTTGAAAAGTTAGAATAACAAAGGAATGTGTATAAACTAAGGGGTTCTATATTATTTGGGCATAAACTTACCTAGAGTAAGTTGTCAGCTAATAATCCTAAGCACAATCAACTGTCATCTGAATTAAGGATTAGATAGGCTCTGTCCTTGGAATCAAGGAGTTATAATTAATAAAACTTTATAATTAGGAATTTATAACATGTACATGATCACACACTAAAATAATGTATGAATAATAATGTATATAAAAATTTAAATCATTAATAATTTTAATGAACAACTCAAGATCCACTGTAAAGTAAAGGTTACTAGGCTCCACAAACAACAAGTTTGAATTCATATTCTTTTTCAAATATAGGTTTGAATATGATAGGAATTGTAATAAGTTAGTGAATTTATGTGCTAACTATGTTCCCTTTACATCTTTTCTTTGGGAAGACATTAGTATGAATAAAGTTCCTCCTTATTTTATTAGCTTGTTGAAGGAGGAATTAAATGTCAATAGCTTGTTGTTTGTATTTTCTTTTTTAGTGATTAATGTAGTTGGTTGCATCTAAAAAAAAAAGAGTAAAATAATCCCATGGTTACTTGGGTTGGTCCTAAAAATTAAGTAGATTAGGCCAATTGGAATACTTAATCAATCCTAGGTCTTGTAGGGGATATACCCATTTGTATGTGCATTTGTATGTTTATTTAAATTTCAATACTGAGTTTATGCTTACACGAGTAAGTATATCACATAGTTACACTAAAAATAAAGCAGAATAAGCAAACTGGAATATTGAATCGGTCCTAGGTGATGTACGGGTTCTACTTATTTATAATCTTGCATTTATATGTGCATTTATATGTTTATTTAAATTTAATCATTCATTATATTCTTATATGAGTAAGAATATCTTATGGTTACCTGATTTCATCCTAAAAACTTAGCAAACAATGCCAACTAGAACGCCGAATTAATACTAGATCAGGTAGGAATTTTGCACATTTAAAATCTTGTATTTACATGTGCATTTATAAGTTTATTTAAATTTTTGCATTGTCTGTGCTTATGCTAGTAAGCTTATCCCATGGTTACTCTGTTTTATCCAAAAAAATGAAGTAAACTAGACCAGACAAAATTAATTTATCCTAGGTCATGTAACGGTTTTGCCCATTTGTAGTCTTCCATTTTTGCATGCTTTGTAGTCATGCTTTTTTTTTTTTTTTTTTTTTTTTTTTTTTTTGCATATATATAATCTTGCATAGGTATGTCAATATCAAGCATTAGATTGTAAATTCCAAAGTTGTCTCCCCTCTAGTAAGTGCCCCTTTCAAGTCTAATGTATATAATATTCTATCTTCTATATCTAAAGGTCCATGGACAAGTCCTTTAGTCCATTGGTTTTCAAAAAATCCAAATTCAAATCAAGTCTCAATCTTTCCCCTCCAATTTAAAATCACTTGGGTAAGACTCATTGTAGAGTAACAAAAATCAAATTCAAATTCCAATTTCAATCTTTCTCATAGTCAATATCTCCTTGGGCTGTGTCCATATCCAAAATCATTGATAAAATCCAAATTCAAAAAATTCTTATTAAGTTCAATTTAATCATGCTCTAGGGATTCAGTATACTCTACTTAGTATATTCTGCAACCTTATATCTTTTCATAAAATTAGCGAATTTTTGGATATTGATACACAATTTTGGTTAATTACAGAAGAATTGTTTGGAAAATTGAGTACGACCTCTAATTCCAAGAGGAAATGTCTCAATTATCTTTTTAAAAGAGCAATCACTTATAGAAATCAAAAAGATAAAATCACAAAAATAATAGAAAAGAAAATTGGGTTATTGTTTGCAGTGGATATAGGGAAACAACATATGCAAATTTAGGTAAAAGAGCTGACCTCAGAATGATCAACAGTTTAGATATATGCCTTATATTAATCTGGAGAAAAAATAAACTGAGGTTTGAGGTAGTAAAAAAATAAGAGCTATTCATTCAAAAGGTAAACCGTTAAAAGGAGCTACAAAATCATCTTAAAGTACACCGAATTTAACTTTTAATGAATCAATGAAGCTGAAAGATGCGGGTAAAGTGAGGAAATACTTTTGGTGACTCACCTGATCAGTCATGAAATTGAAGATTATGTAACCTTAAAAGAGTGGCTTGAAAGAAGCATTAAATATTGATCAGTTGTGATACCCAATAAGTATTTAGAAGCTTATGTTAAAGGAGCTGCTAATTATGTGATTGGTTAGCCTTTTGTATAATTCTCAAATTTAAAATATGTTGGTGATTGGGACATAACTTTATCCCGATCTTCTAAGAAATTCTAAATAAAATCTATTATTCATCTACTCAGGTATCTCAAGGAGTTTAGAGGCTCCTCTTGGATGATCTAGCAGCTACAGAAGAAGAAATGGTTCAAATTGAAAATCTTAAGAAGATCTCAGTTGGTTAGTCTTCAATAGCTCATAAGGAGGAACCTAAGAATAAAAGTAGTATTGTAAACAATAAAGTTGCAGTTTGTTCCAATGGCAAAACAAAAGCGCTTATATCTCTTACTCTGTATGTTTCCAATTTTGTCCCGCAGGGGCTAAGCAAATTATAATGAAAGATTCAGTGTATATCATATCTATATCTATTGATGATCAAATAAATGATTACATAAATAGTGCAAAAGAAAATAACTCTATAGAAATTGAAACAAATTTAGATGAATTAACAATAAAAATGTAATAAAAAAAACAATAAAAATACAATGATGAATAATAACTGTAATTTTATTCTTTACATTCATAAAATAGAATGATCCTATATATTTGAACTCCGCACGTAATAATCCCTCAAAATGTTGAGTGTTAATAAAGTAAACACTAGTTAGTATAAATAAAATAAAAATGTGAAGCATTCAACAGCGACTTCCTCCGGAACTAATAGAACTCAACTGAATCCCAAGTTTTTTTAAAATACCGAAACACAGTACTATCCACTCAACAAAGAACACATGCCCAAAACTCATATACATTAAGTACGAATGCTAATTCCCCAATAGTCTGCTTTCTTCTCCGCCAGGGGCAACCATGGAAGTGGAGGCGAAACCTTCGCAGAACCTTAAGCCGCTACTTCCATCAAACTCCTGCAATGATCGGAGGGATTTCCTCCTCCATCTTGAGGCCTACCTTGCTCGTCGTGATGGTGTTGACAAGCTCCTCAAGATATCACGCTACGCCGCCAAAATCGCCATCGCTACTTCCCTCCCTTCCGAAACCCTAGCTCCCCGCCTAAAGGCCTTCGAGTCTAGCGTCGGCCTCAGTCGCAAAGCCTTCCGCGTCGGAAAGTTCGTCCAGGACATCAACGCACTCCGCACCGCAGCAGGCCGACCCAACTCCGTTGTCGATCTCCTCCTCTCCGCGGCCGCCTACGGAGGAGAGGGCGTCTACTATTTCCTTGAACAGGTCGTTTGGCTCTCCAAAGCCGGGATCCTCTCGCCAGAGCTAGCTCGTAAGTGCCAGAAGGTCAGCGCTTGGGCGGAGTTGATTGGATATGTGGGAAGCATCACGCTTAAGTTGAAGGAGGTGAGAAAGATTAGATCAACCATTGAGGCGAGGAAAAGGACCGTTGGATCAGGGGACAGCGATGATGTTGAGATTCGGAAGTTCAGTGATAAATTGTTCCTTAAGCAGCTATCGATTGTCCAGGATCTAGCTGACGGATTGATGGTTCTTGGGGATGTGAGAGATGGCAAAGGATTCCTAACAGATCCGCTGATGATGGCTTCGGCGGGGATGCTATCGGCTTTTATCAGCTTGCATAAGAACTGGACATCTTGTTGAGGTAGGGCCTCACATTGTACTTCTATTCTGCCATTTAAATACATGAATAAAATTATTGCTGACGAACTAGAATTTTGGGCAATTGACTAAACCGATGTTTTGCTCTGATTCAATGTTATACATAAGCATGAATTATTTGAGAATCATCTAAGAGGCGAGGAACTTCCAGTTTTACTCATTTAGCTGGTGTATCTGCCAAGTCTTTAGTATTATGCACAGGGCACAATTTGCCCTTGTCTCAAATTTTTTTAACATTTTCTTTCTAACATGTGTAGTATGTTAAGCAGGGAAATTATTAGATCCGGACACCGGACGTAAAGATATGTCCAGACTCAAATAAAATATTGACATGCAAAATGTACACGTGTATGCAGAATTTTAAGTCGAGCGTGCCAAAAGCGCAGGTAAAGCAGATGTAAAGTGTAGGTAAAGCGTAGTCATAACGCAATCAAAGTGCATCCTACATGTCAAATTTTAATTGGATATCCGGACCTATATTTAGGTTCGGTGTCCATACCTAATAATTTCCCTTTAAGCAGAGGCAGAACCATGTTATGCCCATGGTGGGTAATTGGTCATCCTAAAATAATGAGTTTTTTTATATAATATGAGTTATTTAGTAATATGTCCCCGAAATCTCATTTCTTGCCCTAGCCAACCTTCTTTTCACACGCGTGCTTGGTAATTCGCGAGGTCTCCCCATGTCTTCTTTCGTTCTTTGTGCGTTCTGCCGTTACCATCTGAAGGCGAAGCGTCGAAGGGAAAAATGTCGTGCGTTCAGCGACTTCTTTGATCTTGATATACCATTAAAAATTATCTTGATCGGGCACGAATCTCGAGGCAAAAATCAAGCTAGAAACTTCAAAAATTAAATCCGATATCACTTGAACTTCAATTTCAGCAAACTTAAAGTCAAATTAGACCACGCGGATGCGCCTGTTGGTGTGGGGCGGGGGTCCGCTGTCGGCTGCCGGCCGTTTTTCGGCTCGAACGGTCCAAATTCGATATTTTTTTGTTCCTAAGACACGTTTTTCGACATTTCAAATTCAATTTTTACACTTTTCGAGCTCAACGGGGTCTCTATGATCAAAATTTGAGCAAGATTATAATTTTTGGAACCCAATTTTTTGCGATTCGGCCAATGTAAAATGTCATAATAAGTATTTTCGAACTTTTGTAGCTTCGATGTCCAAAAATAGTGGGGCAACTGATATACCAACAAAAATTATCATGATAAGGTACGAATCTCGAGGCAAAAATCAATCCGAAAACTTCAAAAATTAAATCCGAGATCACCCGAACTCTGATTTCAGCAAACTTACAGTCAAACTGAGCGTCTCGGAAATACGAACCCAACGACACTAAATTCGACTCAATCCGAGCCCAAATGGGTCCAAATCAGGGTCCGAACCGCTATTGGTTGGTTTAAACCACAATTTTGATTACCAAATGGTCTCCAAAATTGACAAGTTTATAGTCGAATCGAGCGGCTTGACGAGAAGAATCCAACGAGCCCGAGATTGCCGAATTCCGACATCACTAAGGCCTTCAAAAGTCTGACGAACTGTGCATGATCAAGGGATTCAATATCAGCCGTCCATCCAACCACTCCACATTTGCCCTTGATCTCTCACCTATTTACGGGTCATGCCACTCAAGAAATCTATAAATAGACCCCTCATTTCTCTTGAAGAGGGGACGGAAGCAAGAAGAGAAGATGGAAGAAGAGAATGAAGAGAAGGAAGAAGCACCTCCTCGACCACCGCCGGGCTTCCGCCGGACCACTACTTGAGGCCCTCTCCTCCGCCGGACCACCGCCTGACGTCGTTGCTCCGTCGGACTACCACTTGAGGCCCTCACCTCCACCGGACCACCGCCTGACACCGTTGCTCCGCCAGACCACCACTCAAGGCCCTCACCTCTACCGGACCACCGCCTGACAATGTTGCTCCATCGGACCACCTCCTGACAACGTTGCTCCATCGGACCACCACTTGAGGCCCTCACCTCCGACAGACCACCACATGACATCGTTGCTCCGCCGGACCACCACTTGAGGCCCTCACCTCCGCCGGACCACGTCCTAACGTCGTTGCTCCGCCGGACCACCACTTGAGGCACTCACCTCCGCCGGAACACTGCCTGCCGTCATTGCCCCGCCAGACCACCACTTAAAGCCCTCACCTTCGTCGGATCACCGCCTGATGTCATTGCTCCGCCGAAACACCACCTAAGGCCCTGAGCTCCACCGGACCACCGTTTGACGTCTTTGCTCTGTCAGACTGCCACTTGAGGCCTTCACTTACGCTGGACCAACGTTTGATGTCTTTACTCCGCCGAACCACCATTCGAGGCCATGTGCTCTACTAGGCCACCACCTGAGGCCCGAACTTCTGTCGGACTGCTACTTGAGGCCTTGTGCTCCACCAGGCCACTACCTAACGACCGAATTTCTGCCATGCCACTATTTGAGGCCTTGAGCTTCACCAGGACACCACCTGATGTCGGACTTCTACCAGACTACTACCTGAGGCCCGAACTTCTGTCGGACTGGCACCTGAGGCTTGGAATTCTATCGAACCACAACCTAAGACTCGGACTTCTGTCGGGCCATCACTTAACGCCGAGAGTTCTCTCCAAGTACCGCCCTTCAACAACGATTTTTTTGACCCCGCTCACCTGCCGACTACGGTCCTTCCGACCTCCGTCGTCTACTATGGTCCTTCCGAACTCCATCAACAGACAACGGTCTTTCTGACCCCAGTCTCCTGCCGACTACGGTCCTTCCAACCTCCGTCGCCTACTATGGTCATTCCGATCTCCATCACCAGACAATGATTTTTTCGACCTCCATCCTATCGACTATGGTCGTTCCGACCAAACAAACGCATCTATTGTAACTCCCACCATGTAGTGCATACTATATGATGCACATTTGTGACATCAAGCTAAGGCCTCATTTATAATCGACTGCAAATACTAGTGGATTCATTCAAACTGGGCTAGGCCCTGTGATTTTTCCCCCTTTTAAGGGGTTTCCACGTAAAAATTCTGGTCTCTTATGAACGTTACACTCTCTCACTTATCTGATTCTGTGCTGGATCTTCGTACAATGCTAAGACGTTAAATTATATATTTCTTTACCGTCGCGAATACTCTAGGACGCAATAGATCTAATTGTCTTTCTTAAGTAAGTTCTAGTTTTTTCCTTTCAAAGGAAATGAAAAAAAAAATAAAATTATTCACATATTTAAATTAGTAATGCAACCACTGTTTACTTGATTCATTTAAATTTTCTATATGTTGTGGTTCAAATGTTTTTATTTTTAATTTTTAGTTTGGCTCTTCTGGTTCATTGCTTTCTTGGTTTGATATGTAATTATGTTAAGAGTTTTTACAATATTTAAATGTATTTAAGAATGTCATATTTAGTGTGATTTACTGAGTTAGATTTATAAATTTACAAGGTTTGGGATTAGTAAGTAGATTTTGGATAAACTTCATAATTAATGTTAGGTTCAAATTCATGTTCTATCCAGGTGTAGAATAATGTTACGCCCATGGTGGGCATTACCCATGCTAAAAAATTAAGCTTCTATTTATCATATGAGTAGTTTGTTGGGGCGTGATCAGCTTTGTTTTTTAGTGTGAGCAAATTCATTATAGAAATAATTTAATTTTAAAAAAATAATATGATAAAATTCTAAATAAAGTTTTGCATTTCATTATGATTTATGACTTGCAAGTTTTTAATTTCATTTTATATTTTTCAATAACATTGTATTATGACTTCATTGGGATTCAAGTCAAATAATAATAATAAAAAATTAAAAATATCTTTCTCAATATATGGTACAAATAATCATTAAGTCAATTATATTTCATTTAACTTCTAAGTTGATGCTTGATAATCTTCATGGTAAAATATGCTCAATCATTTGTTGCAGTAGTAATAAAAAAAACTCAATATTAAAATGATAAGCCTAGAAACTAAAGGATACATAACTTTTTTTTTTTGCATTTTATTGATTTACTTTGTAAGTTTAGCAATGCTACTCAAAGATGAGAAATTTATTGTAAGCATATCAATATTGAAAGTTGTTAACTAATATTCTAGAGCCATCAATCATAACTATAGAAAAATCATCCTAATATAATTCCGTATGATGAATTAATTTCTTTTATCAGAAGTAGAGAATGAATGATTTGGGTTTGGACAAGCTACATAGCAACTCAGTGATAATTTTGGAGAAATAATTTTTCAACTCTTTAAATTATATATCAATATTATAAAATTAAACAATTAGATAATGTTATAAGTTTGTAATTTTTTATTTATTTATTCGCACTGATTATCAACGAGCTTTAAATGTATAGTTCATATCAAGAAAATTAATTTAAAAAATATTATAAAAACATGATACTTCGTCTAGCAAAGGGTCTTATACATTATCTCTCATCATTTGTAATCATTATTTTAATATTTGTTGCAAGGCTTTTGACAATTTATTTGTTATATTCAAAATATCAATCATTAGTACATCATCAATAAAAAGTCAAAATATTCTATTGCATGTATCAAAACACTTAATTCAACTGATTGTTGATAATGAACCCTGTACTTCATGAAATTTTGAGTACTTATACGACAAAAGTTTACATTTTTGTAAGGCCAATTAAGATTTGAAAATGTGAAACCTAGTGGGCGTCACCATTTCATTAGAAAGTGTGTTTTTTGGTTGAAATCTCAACCATTAGTTAGTTCTCCACTAGTTTGATAAAAAAATTATTTTTTCATTCTCAACAAGTTCAAGAGTATTAATCCTATTACATGAAACTCTAATAATATTATGATTTTTTTATATAATCTTAAAATAATACTTCAGCTGCTAATAATATTTTGTTACAATTACTAAACACTATTTGTAGTTGATGAACAAAATTATGAGCATTGAATGCTTATGAATTATAATTTGATATTAATGTCTTTAAATCGTGAAACTTCCCTCACATATTAGATACTTCGTCATATTTTTGGCTACGTATCGTGTTTATGCATAATGAATGTTTTGCATGTATAATTTCAAAAGTTGTCATATATGCAACTATATTAGTTAAGGAGATTTGCTTAATACTTATAAATTTGACAATAACATGATCCAATTTTTCCACATATCT